AAGGCCTCTTCGCCGTGACGGCAACCAACGCGTCACGCCACCCTTATCGAAGATCAGCGTCCATTCCATCGCCAAGCATAAATACAAGTTGGAGAGAAAAGTAGCATAAATAGAGAGAAACAGACCGAAACGCCCAGAGCACTTCCTACGAATTTTCCTTTTCATCAACAGCGGCTGAGCGTTCACTCACGCGCCGACGTCCCGTCCGAGTAGGGGTCGCCTTCCCAACCTCCTTCTTTCTGCCCTCCTCATTGTCCTTCATATCCTGACCACATGTCGCAGCACCCGACCGCTTCTTGACACCATTTCGGTTCAAAACAGTTATTGGCAAAGTCTCTTCCTTTTCAAGTTCCACATCCTGTGCAACCATATCCTCCTCAACTTTCTTCCGCATCGCGACAAGCTCCTCAAACACCGCATCACATCCTCTCCGCCTTCGCACAGCCCTCGCTACCAGAACCGCGCGAGTTTTCTCTAGTCGCTCCACCATTCTAGCATACAGGCGCCCAAACACATCACCGACTTCCTGAGTCTGTCTTCTAATTTTCTGTCTTCTAATCCCCGATCCAACCTCCCTCATAGCCTGTTGATTCCGCACCAAGAACACGGGCGCCCCAAGCACTTCCCCTTCCTCGCGTCTCTCCATCTCATTCAACTCCTCCTTCCACATCTGGCGCAAACACCTCCCCAAAAGGGGGCCACCTCTCACTGCGGAATCCGCAACCACCTCGCGAAACAGGGAAAGTAGCGTCTCACGCGGCGTGCACCCACCAAAGTAGGCAATGTTGACGCCACTATCGAACGGGTTCCCCGTAAGTACTTGCACAATATAAGGCAGTGTGCCGCGCACTGGTGAAACACGGCGTCTGAGGAATGCAAATGCCTGGTATACTTTTTCCCCAGCCTCGGCTTTAAGCTGCTCAGGGTCCAGAATCTCATACGAAGCTAGACAAGCCTTTGTCAGCGGCCATTTCCCCTTCCTTACCCACAGGCAATACCAAAACTAACTCACCCAGCTTAAGTGCCTTGATATCGCTCAACCCGTCCCCACCCCTCCCGTTGCGCCCCAAGAACCCGCGACACTTGCGCCCCCCGCAGAGACATTTGCGCATGGGCCCAAAGGCCTCAAATTTGTAATCGTACGTCAACTCCGAGCTGGGCGGGATCTCCTTGTCCGCAAAGAGACCAACGTGGTACTCGCCATTCACGCTCCTAATACAACTCTCTAAGGTTAGTCCTGCTAGACGAGAATGATAGGACGCACCACTTCTCAATACGACAATTGGGGTCACAGCTGTGGTTCACGAAACGCGCGAGACTTCCTTTTCGCCCACCATCAATCACCTCTCCGCGGTCATAGTTGAGAAAATAGTAGTGTTGCGTGCCGGCGTAGAGCGTGTCCATACGCTCCAGGCAGGTCTCCTGGCTGATAATTTCGCCACAGTATTCCATCACGAGCCTGTTTTTGGAGATAGCGGCGTTGGTACGGATGCCAAAACCGCGGCCGTTTGTCTTTTAAAGTTCATTCATTCATGTGCGGTGAGTTAGGGGTGCAGTTTTCTTCCGGTGGGCCCCTCACCAGGCAGACTTCGAGGTCCTCGGTCTGTACACCGCGTTGGAACATCTGGTTGGAGCAAGCATCACCCGCGGGGCATTTTCCGGGCGTGCATTCAAATTGCATCAGCCTGTACTTGGTGTATTAGCAGCGAGCTTTTTGTAAATCAAAAACGAACGCACCGATTCAAGCAGTCTGCACCACAAGCAGGACCTCCATCTGCCGGAACAACGCAGAAACAAACGGGAGTCTCCAAAGCCGGCTTTCGGGGCCGTCGGTCTACGAAAATGTCTAACAAAGTAATGCGGTCAGCATATTTTCCAACTTTCAAACCACTTACTCTTTTTGATCCGCACATACTGCGGCGGCTTCCGCTTGCCTTCCAACGCCCACAACTGCGGCGGGGGTGCCTAGGAGGCAAACACAAGAAACAAGGAAGGTCAACACCTGTCAGAGGGATTGCAGTAGTAAAGGCACTTACCAGCTCCCCACTACCCACTACTTTCACAAATCGGTGCAAATCAAATGGTAGCTCAAAGTCTTCCTCCGTTTCAAGAATAGTCTCGCCATAATACATGGGCATCGAAAACTTGAACGGCCTCGACGTCATCTCACTGATGAGTGTGTCCTCCGGCTCCGCGACCGTGTCTGCATCCTCTTCCGCAACCGTCACCACAACGTCCCGGTTCAAATCCCCGCTATACATTCCTGCCCGCAGAAACTCCTTTCGTGCATAGAGCGCGCGCATTCCCGCATGCCGTTCCCACACCTCCTCCGCCTCCCTGGCCCTCTCACCGCGCTTATACACGCGCGGCGGCGGCGGCGGGGACGGCGACCATGTGATGGGGCTGGACGGTGTCCCACTGGGGCTCAAGGAACGGGGCCGCGCAGAGGGGAAGCGACGCACGAGGGGCGCTTTGCGGGGCTGGCGTTTAGGGACCACAAAGACGCTCGGGAGAGCTGTTTTTGAAGGGGCGCGCTTTTTGGTAGAGAGCGAAGAGACTGGGGCGTTCGTAGAGTGTAGGTATTTGCAGAGAGACTTCCAGTGTGGGGTGGCGTTGTTGGTGAAAGCGCTTGCGGCGGCGGCGGTGGAGGGGACAAGGAAAGCAAGGCTACGGGACCATTCTGAATCGTCGGGGTCCGTGTTTTCGTCCACGTGGACGGCAGTGCAGACATGCGGGTTACGGGAGACGAGGAGGGAGGGCAGGTGAATGCCGCGGATGTGAGGGATAGAATAGTTTGACGTGATTGGTTGGTTGCTGACCCGGCGCTTGGATGCGGGGACCATCGTGGTTTGGTCAAACGGAGGCAGAGTTGGGTTGGGTTTTGACAATACATTATGGAGGGCTTGAATTGCACTGGCCTGGAGACGGCTCAGGTGTTCTGCCTCATCCTCAGCGCTAATATCGTCCAGGTTGCTTCAAATTGAAAATCAATATGGATAGTAGCAGCCTCAAGCGTCATCGTTACCTTTCATTCTCCTTCACCATCTTCAGCGGACACGCGTTTTCGCTCCCATTGCCTGACACTACACCGTCAAAACAGAGTCTCGACAGCTCGTTTTCATCCAAGGGCTTTTGTGCACCGTCTCCGTCGTCTCCAGACGCAATCAATTGGCGCATTGCTAGCTCCATCATTAATCCAGACCGCTCGAAGCCCATGATTACTCCAAGAGAGACTAAATCGGGATTTTGAGACTTCTCCGATAATGATAGAATGATTGCGACGCGAGGGGGATGAACCGCGGAGACGTGAAAGAAGTCACGAATGATGTTAATTTGCTTCTTCTTGGAGAGCGAGGCACCTTCCTTAGCTGATGATGTACACGAAACTGGATGCGGGAGAGGGGTTTCGAAGAGGGAGAGGTTGAGTGTCGGTAAAAACGGGGCAGCGGTCCAACGTGGTCTCGTGGATGGGCCTGACACCTCAACCGTGGTTTCCTCGGCCATCTTTTCCGGGCTATTCTTAGCCTTAGGAATGGAAGAGTTTGGAAGCGACCGTCGCGTGCGTGTCGAGGCTCTTGGTTTGAGGGTCTCGGCCTTATCTTCCGAAGCAGAGTGCACGCGGCTACGCTTCGAATTTGCCTTGGCTGAGGTGAATCAACTATGAGTGATACTTTGCGGGCGGTGAGGCATGGCGCACCTGTCCCGGCTGCTGGCACTTCCTCAGTTCCAACGACCGCACTCTCAACCCTGCAACCCATCACGCTGCCCTCGACAGTCGCTCTCCGCCGCTTGCCCGATACTACGGAGCTGTCCTCGTCGGTATTGTTGAATACGGAACGTGCAACTGACTCTGTCATTTCGTGACTTGTTGTTCCCTTTCACCTAAATAACGTCGCTTGATAGATGAAGAAACTAAGAATTGCCGAAAAAGCTCACACAAGTAAGTGGTACATTGACGTACATTGACATTTTGGATTCTTGAGGAAAGGATGTTGACCACAGGTCGAACTCACTGAAACAATTCGCGTTTGAACGCGCTCACGGCGAGAGCCGCGTGCGTAACCTGAATGCGCATGACGATCAACGAACAATTATTATTTAAGGTAAAAATAAAAACTTCCATTTCTATAGATCGCGTATGGTGTAGTGGTCAGCATCTTGCCTTCCCAAGGCAAGGACCCGAGTTCGAATCTCGGTGCGCGAAGGTTTTTTCCGACGCTGTCACGGAGGGCTTGAGTACCCAG